GAATTTTTAATATTTATTTTTTAGTTCTCGGCGGACACAACATCTTTGTTGGTATGTGGTGCTGAGGATCGAACCCGGGCCGCACGCATGCCAGGCAAGCGCACTACCTCTTGAGCCATATCCCCAGCCCAATCCCATATTGTTTTAAGTTGTGAAGTTTTTGGGCAATTATTATTATTTTTTCTATACTGGGGAATTTTTAACCCAGGAGTGTTCTATCACTGAGCCATATCCCTAGCCTTTAAATTTTTTTTTTGTTGCTATTGTTACTTTTTGTGATGCTAGGGATTGAGCCCAGAGCCTCTCATATGCCAGTAAGTGCTCTACTGCTGAGCCCCACCCTCAGACCAACCTTTTAAAAATTTTTATTTTGAGACAGGTTCTTGTTGAATTATGGAGAACGGCCTTAAATGGAGATCCTCCTGCTTCATCCTCTCAAATTGCTGGGATTATAAGCATGTGCCACTGTTCCTGGCTGGGGTAATTATTTTGTAGCAAGATAACCAATGCACATGCACAACTGCACATATCTATTAAATACATTATAAACCATATAACTCTAAATAGAAACATAAAGATTAATATGTGTGGTTCATGCCTGTAATCCCAGTGGCTCCTCAGGCAGAGGCAGGACGATTTCAAGTTCAAAGCCAGCTTCAGTAACTTAGTGAGGCACTTAGCAACTCAGCTAGACCCTGTCTCTAAATAAAATATTAAAAAGGGCTGGGATGTGGCTCAGTGGTTAAGCACCCCTGGGTTCAATCCTCAGTACAAAAATAAAAAGATTAATATGGATGCATATGTGTGTGTGTATATATATACACACACACAAACACACACACACACAATACACATACATATACACATGTTTAGCATTAGTCCAAGCACAGTGGCCTAATCAATAAATGGAGAATGTGGTTATAAGGTAGAAAACAGATTTCAAAACATTTTATTTCAGTAAAAAATGCAAACAAGAAAAGCACAGTTGGTAAGTGTACAGCTTTCTGCAGTTTTACAAGCTGAGCATCACCGCATGACCAGCACTCAGACCAATAAGGTGGACCTTCCCTCACTCCCCGACCTTCCTGTGTTCTCTGCCAGTCTCTACCTACTGGGTAATCAGTATTCTGACTGAATTAGCATAGGCTTGTTGGCCTGAATAAACCAGATTGTAAGTGATAAAATCAGAGAGTGTTAAATTAACAACCCAATTGTCACCAAAATCACTGGCCATGGGCCCAGTGCATGTAAACAAACACAAGGGTTTTCAGGACACAGAGAAATGAGGGCACACACAGAGCTGTCACTCTTTATGCAAGTGATGTGTTCCTGAATATCTCACATAATCTAGACAATTCAAGTCTAGTTTTCTTGAAATATCTGCAAAGCAGGATTTGTACAATTTCACATTTGGAGCCTTAAGGGAGACTTGTTAGCATCTTTAATGTTGCCCAGTTTCTATAATTTAAATTATGTTAATTTCCACTTATCATAATTTGAATTCAGACAACCCTCTCTGAAGCCCATGATTTAGCATCTCTGGGGCCCCAGAACTGTAATTGTGGATGGAATGGGAGCCCAGTTCTGGGGGCAGCACATAGGGTGGAGCCAGGTTGCCCAGTCCTTCCTCTGCTGCTTTGATAAGCTATTGTCAACCAGGGCCTTAGCTTTCTCTTCTGCAAAATGAGTTGTGCTGGGGGATTATAAGAAAAGTGAATGAGTGAAAAGCTTTGGGATACATAGCAGGAGTCAGTGGAAATTCCTCAGCATCAAACCAGCTGAGGCTCCCCGCTGCCCCCTGTCCTCCATGCTGCTTGAAGGATTTCAAACTCTGCAGAAAAGACAGGGAGTCAGGTTAGGCAGGCTGGGGAGCTGGCCTCCGGGGTCACAGACCTGAATTGGGAAAGAGCAGGGAACTGGTCGGTCCCTCTGATCCTGGTCAGGGATATTTGGAGACACCAACAATTCTGGGAAATTCAGAGGTGGGGAGTGAAAAGGGCAGAGACAGAGGGGACAACAACACAGTGCATCCCAGCGCCCCCAGGTCTGCTCCCCTTCCCAAAGGGTTCAATGAGGTGTGAGGTGACTGGCTTGTGGGTGTGTGTGGGGATAGGCCAGAAGACTCCCCTTCCCTGGGGAGAAGAGCAGAGGCAACTCATCCCCCACTCCCACCCCCAAGTTCCAAATCTATTTCCATCTTTGTTTACCGTCCAAAGTCCCAAACACTAGAGATGCCAGATTCCGCGTGCTCAGACACACAGACACCCATACACACAGACACACGGGTCCAGGGCCCTCATATGGACCCTGACTCCTCCACTCCCACTATTCAGGGCTGGCCACCAACTCCAATTCTCCAGGTTTCAGCCCCTTTCTTAGCCTGGGATCTGCATAGCATCCAGGGACCTGGGAGCCAGACCTACAGAACTTCAGCAAGTAAAATGGGGATGGAGAGGGAGAGAACAGTTGAAGGAGTGATTGAAGGCTCTCTCTCTCTCTCTCTCTCTCTCTCTCTGTTTATATGTGTGTGTGTGTGTGTGTGTGTGTGTGTTGGTGGGGTTGGGTGGAAAAATGGAAGAGGATGGATTTTGGATGTAGGCCTGGGAGGGGATGAAAGAAAGAAGAGTCTCCATTGGGTCACTGGTCAGAGGTAAAAAAGGAACAGATCCCACTCTCTAGGCCCTGTTCCCTTCAGCCCCAAACTCAGTTCCAACCTTGGCCTTGATTTGTCCCAGGTCCAACACCAGGCCTATCATGACGAAGGAATATCAAGATCTTCAGCACCTGGACAATGAAGAGAATGACCATCATCAGCTCCGAAGAGGTGAGGGACCCTCTCCTATCTGAAACAGGAGTATTTGGGAACCTCTTTCCTCCTAAGTCTGCTTTTTTTCTGTGACACCTGGCTCTGTCCTTGGGTCTGACGCACTCACATGGAAAATGGTGATGGAGTCCCATAGGTTAGGGGAAGTGCAGGGTGTGGGATTAGAGTCCCTTTCTTGGTGATAGCTGCCCAAGCTTCCTTACTGTGTTACCCAGTTCTCAGGATCTTGGGCAGGGAGTGAACCCAAGGTATGGGAACGACTGGAAGTTGGAGAGGTGGGCTTATTTCTTCGAAGGTAGTGCCCTCTTTATTTCCTCTTCCAACACAGCTGTGGAGAGGCTTGGACTGCGTGTGTGGGTGGGCGCGGTGTCAGGATCAGCTTGGCCAAAGGGGTTAGGTTAGGAAGCCTGTAAAAAGGCAGAGGGTCTCTGCTCTGGGATGGATGAATCCCTTTCCTCGTGCATCCAAAATAAGTTCCCTCTCCCCACTTCTTGATCTTCCAGAGCAAAAAGGAATCATTTGTGGGGATGGTGGGTACTGGGGAAGAGAGCGGGAAGGGGAGGCCCCTACACTCCAGTTCACAGGGACCAGACTCAGTGTCATTCTCTTCTTCATGGGTGAGCGAGACCCTGCCTTTTGTCTGCATGCACATGAAGATGGGTGGTATTCACAGAGAGAGGAAGAAACCTCTTCACTCTCAGGGGGCACATGACAGACTCCCCTAGGTGGGCCTCTGATGAGGTTCATTAGCTGCAGTGTCATAGTAATGCCACTAGGTGTCAGCAAAGTCTCAAGGCTTTGGCAATGCCAGGGAAGGTCAAAGATTTGCGCCCCTGGGGATCCTTATTCCCTTCCCCACCTCCAGTTATGCTGGCCCTGCAAAGTGGCCCATTGCCTGGATTTCTTAATCTGTATGGTTCCTCCTAGTCTACTAGAGTGGCCTTAGCCTGCTCCTCACCAAGTGCCCTGCACCTACTCCAGGCTGGCCTGTGTCCCTGAGCTCCTGATCCTCTCTCTTGCAGGGTTACCTCCTTCTCAGCCTTTTTTGCAGCGGCTCTGCTCCGGACCCCGCCTCCTCCTGCTCTCCTTGAGTCTCAGCCTTCTGTTGCTGGTGGTTGTCTGTGTGATTGGATCCCAAAGTGGGTGCCCAGGGGGTGACAGGGAAGGGAGCAATATTGTGGGGGGGGATGTTAGTGATGGGTTCAGTGCTGGTGAACACAGTCTCCTCCTGTTTTCATCCCCATGGTCTCTCCTGCACAGACTCCCAGCTGAAGGAGGAGTTGAAGGCCCTGAGTAAGACCTTCAGCAACTTCACAGTGAGCACTGAGGCTGAGGTCAAGGCCCTGAGCACTCAGGGTGAGGGGGATTAGGGTTGGGAGCTGGGGCAGGGGGATGGTTAGGACATTTGGACACTGAGCAAGTCTCTTCCTCCAGGAGGCAATGTGGGAAGAAAGATGAAGTTGCTGGAGTCCCAGCTGGAAAAACAACAGCAGGATCTGAGTGAAGGTCAGAGTGTGTGTGTGTGTGTGTGTGTGTGTGTGTGTGTGTGTGTGTGTGTAGGTGCAGGGTATGGAGTGCAACTCTCAGACCAAGCCAAGGCTTCTTGGCAGGGGCATCTGTGATTGGTCTTCCCAGAGAAATGACAGATCCCGCCCCTCAAGTTCATACTGACCTTATTTCCCTCTCACACTCTCCTCCTCCTGCTCCCCTCCTGTCCTCTGTCTCCCCAGAACACTCCAGCTTGCTGCTCCACGTGAAGCAGTTTGTATCTGACTTGCGAAGCTTGAGCTGTCAGATGGCTGTCCTCCAGGGCAATGGTGAGGGGGCCACCCAACCCCACGTTTTGGCCCCCCTTCCAGGTAGCAGCTCCAGGCTCTTCACCCTCCCTCTTCCCTCTCAGACTCTGTAAGGACCTGCTGCCCCATTAACTGGGTGGAACATGAAGGTAGTTGCTACTGGTTCTCCAGCTCTGGGAGGCCCTGGCCGGAGGCTAACAAGTACTGCGAGCTGGAGGACTCTCATCTGGTGGTGATCACCTCCTGGAAGGAGCAGGTGAGGCCCTGGTGGGCTCTTCTGGGAGACTGACTTGTGTAAGGGAGAGGTCACCACTCCCCTCTTCTCTTTCCAGAGATTTGTCCAGCACCACATGGGCCCTTTGAACACCTGGATGGGTCTAACAGATCAAAATGGCCCTTGGAAATGGGTGGATGGGACTGACTACGAGACAGGCTTCAAGTGAGTGGGTGTGACTGCTCCAAACTTTGTGTCTGGCACCTTCCCAACCTCTGGCTCCAGGGTGGGAGGGGCTCCTGGGGATGTTGGCCGAGTCTGACCTCCTGGGGCACCTGGCTGTCTCCTGTCTACAGGAACTGGAGACCAGATCAGCCAGATGACTGGTACGGACATGGGCTGGGAGGAGGCGAGGACTGTGCCCACTTCACCCCTGATGGCCGTTGGAATGATGATTTCTGCCAGAGGCCGTACCGCTGGGTCTGTGAGACAGAGCTGGGCAAAACCAACTAGGAGCCTTCCTCCCCCTAATTTATTTCCTCAATGCCTTGAGCTGCTGAGGTCTGGGATTGGAAATCCTCCTATGTGGGGGTCTGCACTGTCTTGGGGATTTTCATCTAGGATCTAAGGGGAGGGGTGAGTGTACAGTGTTGTTTGGAAGGGTGGGGTGATGGCAACCCATGACACTTTCAGCAGTGTGAAGCTTATTATTGACAATTTTTTTTTAGAGTAAAAGGAAGAGAAATATATTTAAACGTCCTATGAACTGTCTGGTTACTGGGCATTAGGAACTGGGAGGGGCCTGGTTGGCATTAGGAAGACCTGGACAGGTAGAGGTATCATGAGAACTGAATGAGCTTTGGGCCAGATGGTCTGGGTAGGAGTCCAGCTTTGTTATTTGCAGGTGTTGAGCTTGGGCAAGTAACTTTGTTCTGTGAAACTCAGCCACAAGATAGGCTTGTTAGTGAGGACCATCTACCTGCTGCAATACCTCCAGTTCTGAACCACCCCAAGTTGTTGAGTGCTTCAAATACCTTAAATGAGCCATTTGCATGGTGACCTCTATAATCCAAGCTACTCAGGAGACTGAGACAGGAGAATTACAAGTTTGAGGCCAGACAGTAATTTATTGAGACTCGATAAAATAAAAAAAGGCTAGGGAAGTAACTCAGTGGTAGAGCACTTGCCTAGCATGTGTGAGGCTCAGGGTTCAACTCCTAGTACCACAAAATAACAACAAACAAACACACACTTTGGATAAAACTCACTGGCATCTATTATATTTAGTGTATTAAACAGAAGTCACATTCATAAATAGGTGACAAATACCATGAATACATACAACCTGATTCACCAAACATATGAGGACAACCAGGACCTTGAAAGAAAAGCATTAATATTAACAGAATCAACAGTCAAGTCTGGGAGTGAGGACAATTAGGACTTTACAGATACTTCTGGAAATAGTAACAAAAATAGACAAGAGTGTTTGCTCACATACAAGACATATGCTAATTTCAAAAACAAGCAGTGCTCTGACCATAATATAGCAGTTAGAAATGGAGAGCAGAGTACATCCTGTAAAAAATGTATCAACAGCCAGGCACAGTGGTCCATACCTGTAATCCCAGGGACTTGAGAGGCTGACTGCAAGTTTGAGGCAACTTAGTGAGACCCTGACTCAAAATTAAGAGGAAAAAGCTGGGGATGAGTATGGTGGGGCACACCTGTAATCCCAGCAACTTGGGAGGTTGAGGCAGGAGGATCACGAGTTCGAGGCCAGTCTCAGCTACTTAGGGAGACCTTAAGCAATGTTGTGAGATACTGTCTCAAAAAAAAAAAAAAAAGGGCTGAGGATGTAGTTCAGTGGTAGAGCATCTCTGGTTTCAATCTCTTGGGACCAGGAAAAGGAAGAAAGAAAGAAAATAAAAAACAAAATAAAGGATCAGTTATGTATCTAAATACATTGCTGATTATTTTAAATGTAAAAAACTAAGTTGTCTTGTTAAAAGACAGACATTTCCAGACAAACTAGAATCCAATTACATGCTCAAAAGACACATCTGAATCAGAAAAGTTGAAAACAAAAATATGAAAAACATATTGGGGCAAATTCTAATTGAAATGAACTATCATAAGAAAGTATACTTTATAACAAAAAGTATTATTAGAGAAAAAGAGGGCCACTTTCTAAAGATAAAATGTTCAAAAATTCAACAGGAATATACACCAGTAATAAGTATGTATGCACTGAATAACAGCCACAAAACTTATGAAGTACAAAATTTTGAACTACAAGAAAAAAATAGAGGGCTGGGGTTGTAGCTCAGTGGTAGAGCATTTACCTTGCACACATGAGGCACTGGGTTCAATCCTTAGCACCATATAAATAGATAAAATAAAGGTATTGTGTCCATCTACAACTAAAAATATTAAAAAAATAGAAAAATCTATATATTTTTTTCTGTAAAAGGATGATCAAATATCTTTCTCAGTAATTGATAGATCAAGCAAAAAAAAAAAAAAAAAACAAAAAACCTTTAGGATACAGATGTTTTGAAGGCAGAATAATCTATTATGACCTAATGGACATACCCACTGAACTTCACTCATCATCTGCAGAATATCCATTCTTTTCAAGTACTCCCAGACATTTTTAAAAAATGGTGCAAATACTGGGACATAAAGCATCTTTTAATAAATTTCTAATGGGGAATTTTCACTACCATGAGGGGAAATATAAACTCCTATATCAAAATTAATTAATCAAATCAGCATATTATGAGATATCATATTCAAGTAGCATATATATCAAGAATTCAGATAATTTAACATCAGAAAATTTGGTTAGTATGATAGATTTAGGGAGTACAGAAGGATCGATTAAGGGACGATAAAAGATAAAATTACACAATACAGAAAAGCACTCAGCAAAAGTTCAGCTCCTCTGCACAATAAAACCTTTCAGGACTTTGGCAGCTTCTATCTTGTTGCTTCACTGCTGTTTCGACTAGATGTTCCAAGACACCTGGCCCAGTCACGACACACTCCAGACCAGGGAAAAGAGAAGGAAACAGCACACTTTCTTTCTCTGTCTATAGGACACTTCTGGAAGTTGTCAGCTAACATCTCTTGGATCAGAGTGAGTCTCAGGGCCACAGTTAGCTGCAAATGGTTCTGAGAGGTGCACTCTTTATCCCACAAGGAAAACTTCAGGGAATTCTATTTTTGTAGAACAGGAGTCAACAAATTTTGGCACTCACCTGTTTTTGTAAATAAAGTTTTATTAGAACACTGCACTGTTTGTCTATTGATGTATCCTTTATGACTGCTTTTAAGCCTCAACAACAGAGTGGAACAGTTATGATAAAGACTGTGAGGCTAGGAAAGCCTGAAATATTTCCTATCTTATTCTTTACAGAAAATGTTTGCTGACTCCTGGTTTAGAAAAAAATGGGAGAATTGATATTAGAGATCCCTTAGAAATCTCTGTCATAGAATTGTTATTGCTGCTATGACCAAACTGTAATAGATAGGAAAAGGCATTAAAATTGTAGGGCTGGAAGGCTGGAGATGTGTGGCTTGGTGGTAGAGCATTTGCCTAGCGTGTATGAGACCCTGGGTTCAATTCCCAGTACCGTAAAACAAAGCAATCAAAAAATATGACTGGGTGAAGGAGTATAAGCCTTTCATCTCAGCTGCTCAGGCAGGTTGCAAGTTTGAGGCCAGCCTGGGCAATTTAGCAAGACCCTGTCTCAAAAAAATATAAAAGGCTAGAGATGTAGCTCAGTGGTAGAGAGCCCATGGGTTTAATCTTCACTACTGTAACACATAAACAAACAAACAAAAATAAAGACCAAAACAAAACAGTATTGTACTGATATAAGAACAAATAGACTAATGATATGGAATAAAGAACTCAGGGGCTGGGGTCCTGCTCAGTGGTAGAGCACTTGCCTAGCATGTGTGAGGCACTGGGTTCGATCCTCAGCACTGCATATAAATAAATGAATAAAATAAAGGTCCATCAACATTTTATTTTTTTTATATTAAAAAAATTTTTTAGTTATAAATGGACAACAATATCTTTATTTTTATTTATTTTTTAAAATGTGGGGCTGAGGATTGAACCCAGGGGCCTCATGCATGCAAGGCAAGTGCTCTACCACTGAGCCACAACCCCAGCCCCTCCATCAACATTAAAAAAAATAAAAAAAAAAAGAACTCAGAGACAGACCTGTGGGTCAATGGGAACTTAATATACAAAAAAGCAGGCAACTAAAATTGGTGGAGGAAAGATATTGGGGAAATTGACTTTCTATATTAAGAAAAATAAAATTGGATCCATCTCTGACACCACAGACATAGCTGGATCCTGAATAGATTGAAGATCTAAACATGAAAGTTAGAGAACAAACAGAGAGTAGAGAGAAGGAAATCTATATTCCTAGGACTTCTAGAAGGACTTACAAGTACTTTTTTTTTTTTTTTTGATAAGCCCTCCAAAGCACATAGGAAAAAGCCAGAACAATTTGCTGAAATCGCATGAAATTTAGAAATTTCAGTTCAATGACAAGGTTTCAGTTAGGCTCCCAGCAAGCAACACATGGCATACTCAAAATGAGTAATTGAAGGATGTTTTAATAAAAGAACTATTTGTAAAGATGTTAGCAGGATTAAGGAAGCCACAAGAAGTGTGACGGGAACCCAGGTGTCCCAGAGTGGGACCAGAGGTAGAGGACCTCCCAACAGGAGCTGTGACTTTTAGTTGTGGGAGGCAGCCAGCCCACAGCAGCCCTGCAGGGAGCATGCTGAGAGGCAACATCCTCATTCTCCTTTTCCTCCTTCCAATTTCCTGCTAGACCTGGAAGCCAGATGGCAAGGGAGCAATTTGATGCAGTCATACAGTTCAACCTTCCAGGCCACAGAACAACCAGAAAAGGGTAGAGAGGGAGTCTGGAGGTACAAATGGAAGGCATCCAGCAAAGAAGGAACACAGAGAGGAAGAAGATAGGAGACCTATCAGAGAAGCAGAAAAGGGTAGAAACAGGCTGTTCATAGAACAGGGAGCTTGCAGTCTAATGTGCATATAAAGACATGCTTATGATCCCTAGCAACTAGAGAAATGCAATTCAGAACATCAGTGACCTGTCTTTTTACACCCAGTCATTGAAATAAGTCAGAGGGGAGGGCTGTGATTTGTGGCTCAGTGGTAGAGCGCTTGCCTTGCACGAGTGAGGCACACTGGGTTTGATCCTCAGCACCACATAAAAATAAATAAATAAAATAAAGGTATTGTGTTCATCTACAACTAAAAAAAAGTTTTGAACTAGAAAAAAATTAGAAGGGAACTCAAGCACTGGCAAGGAAGTGAGGGAAATGAGAACCTTATGTATCGATTATGGGAGTGTAATTGGAATGGCCATTGAGCAAGACTTTTGGTGGAATTAAGAATGCATATATAGGGCTGGGGTTGTGGCCAGTGGTAGAGTGCTTGCCTAGCACGTTCAAGGTCCTGGGTTCCATCCTCAGCACAACATAAAAATAAACAAAATAAAAGTATTGCAAAAAAAAAAAAAAAGAATGCATATATAGCCAGGCATGGTGGCGCTTGCCTGTAATCCCAGTGGCTTCAGAGGCTGAGGCAGAAGTATCATGAGTTCAAAGCCAATTTCAGCAAAAGCAAGGCATTACGCAACTCAGTGAGTCCCTGTCTCTAAATAAAATATAAAATAAGACTGGGGATGTGGCTCAGTGGTTGAGTGTGCCTGAGTTCAGTACCAAAAAAAAAAAAAAAAAAAGAATACATATATATATGTGTGTGTGTGTGTGTGTGTGTGAGGGTGCACACCTGTAATTCCTGTGACTTGAAAGGCTGAGGGAGGAGGATTGCAAGTTTGAGGCAGCCTCAGCAACCTAGCAAGACTTTGTCTCAAAATAAAAAATAAAAAGTAGCCAGGCGTGGTGGCACATGCCTATAATCCCGCAGCTTGGGAGGCTGAGGCAGGAGGATCATGAGTTTAAAGCCAGCCTCAGCAAAAATCGAGGTGTAAGCAACTCAGTGAGACCCTGTTTCTAGATAAAATACAAAAAAGAGCTGGGGATATGCCTCAGTGTTCAAGTGCCCTGAGTTCAATTCCAAGTACCAAAACAAACAAACAAACAAATAAAAAAACCCAAACAACAACCCAAAACAAACAAACAAAAAACCAAACCAACCAACCAAACAAACAAACCCCGCCCCCAAACAAAAAACAAACAAAAAAGTGCTGGGGTTGCTCAATAGTTAAGTGTCCCTGGGTTCAATCCCCAGCACCCCCAGCCACAAAGCATATATTACCTATAATGCACGAGAGAGAGAGAGAGAGAGAGAGAGAGAGAGAGAGAGAGAGAGAGAGAGAGAGAGAATGAGGTCAGGTTACATTTAACACACACACTCGCACTGCATATATGAGCTGGGCATGGTGGCACATAACTGTAGTCCCAGTTAATTGAGAGGCTGAGGTAAGAGGGTGACTTTGAGTTCAAGAGTTCAAGACCAGTCTGGGCAACATAGTGAGACACTATCTTAAATACCAGAGAGAGAGAGAGAGAGAGAGAGAGAGAGAGAGAGAAGAATTCATATGTTATAATCCACATAATCTTACTTTTGGAGGCAACCTAGTGCCTCCTGGGTGCTAGGAGGGTGTGCCTGATAGATTATTATCCAATTAAGCAACTGTGCATTTCAACACCTGACATGACTCTTAACTGAAAGATATGAGAAGCATTTTTAGTAAACACAGAGTTCAGATAAGGAGTGCATTGTCACTTGGACTTGTTTTGTAAGTTGATCCAGAGTAGGAAATAAGGACACAGATATGAGAAAGGAGGAGGCCAGTTTTTCAAAAATTTGTGGACATTCTGTACCTTCTATTGTTATGCAATAGGGATGACACATCCCTGCCTGCGCAATGATTTTATCAAAGAACCTTGAACTTGAATCTGATTAGGCCTCCAGCACTACTAGTTTATGGGAAATGCAGTAGGAGAGAAATAGACATGCAGGCATGCATTTGGTCTTTCTAGAAGGTGGTAGATTTTACACAATTTCTGGTCTTTTTAACAAAAAATAGCAAGAAATTAAAGAGGGAGGAGGCACTGTTATAGATTAAAAGAGCTTTGAAAGATATAGCAACTACATTCAATGCTTGGACTTTGGATCTTGATTTGAACAAAGCAATTGCAAAAAGACATGGGAAAATCAGGTAAATTCAAATACTAACTGGATAAAGCCCTCTTGTCAATTATTTTTGGCATGATCATATTGTAGTGATGAAGTTAAGTTGAGGAAAAAGAGGTTCTGGGTTTTAGAGATACATGCTGAAATATTTATAGGTGAAATAATATGTCTGGGATTCTCTCTGAAATAATTTAGCATATTTGGGGGTGGGAGATGGGAAGTGTATAGAAGAAACAGAACTAGTCATATGTGGATAATTGTTGCAGGTTCAAGGTGTTCATTTTACTATTCTCTCAACTTTGTATGTGTTTTAATCACTAGAGATGAACCAGAAACTGCAGTCTAAAGACACAACTTAACCAAAATACAGATGATATATTTATATATTTTTTACAAATCCAATGTGGGAAAATAATATTTTGCCTCTACAGAAAAGATTGACAGATATGAGAATTAAAGTTAGAAATAAGCGATAGACTTGGATGAAATATTTGCAATATTTATAATAAGTAATTAATATCCAGAATATAAAGAACTCCTACAAAGTAACAAGGAAAAAAAAAAAAAGAACCTCAACCCAACAGAGAAATGGGCAAAGATATTGTAGTAAACACTTGTCATCTCTATTTTAGGGAATCCCTCATTATGTTCACAAGTAGCCTAGAGACTATATCCTTCTTCTTGCCTCCCTGGTATAGCCAGAAGTGGGCATGTGCTGGAGATGTTGCTCACTGGATCTCCTCTTCCAGAATGTTGAATCTTGAATGAATGAAGCAAATTTATCATGATAGCTGGGGAGAGTCATATTTAAGATCTTTAAGAAATCCAAAAGATGCAAGCTGCAAAATAATATACACAGTATGAACCTGCCAGTGTAGCCACCCTCCCACCTCCAACAACAACAACAACAAAAACCCCACAATAGCAATATACAGATACTCAAATTTACCTTGGAGTCACCACATCCCAATAAATCTGTTGTAGGTCTAGGCTATTGCTAAAATGAAAATGCATTTATAATACACCTAATCTACCAAGCACCACAGTTTAGCAATATAGTACACTGTGGAGTGTTGG